CACCAGGCATGACAATTGGAAAGACAACTATGGAGAATCACCCTATTAGATAGAAAACATAAGATAACATATTAGCAATTAGAAATGTGGCAGTAAATTCCTTATTGTAGTATAACTGGGATGGCAGGAAAATAGTAAAGCATTCAAGTAAATACTAGAGAAGATGGGAGAATAAAAGATTTATGTTCTTTTAGTTAGATCGTCTCTGCCTGCTTTCTGGTAGTTTAGTGCTACATACTGGTCTTTACTGTCTGGGGATCCTATTATCACCACGGACATTAGTTATCTCTGTATTTCTGTAACATTGTCTCCTACTGCCAGTCTGGTATAGAGAGAAGAGATACCACTAATCATATCAGTGAGACTAGTGTCCCATGTCTTTTCCAAAGACAGTAGAAATGGACTTGTATCTCTAAAGCCCAGTGATCTGTGCGGTGAGACCAAGTTTTGGTCGTCTTTTAGGCCAGTCATGATCTTGGTGGAAAATAATCCCAGAAGGTGTATAAGGGAAGAAGTCAAAGTTCAGCTAGGCAGTTGAGGCCAAGGAAGATAGATAAGCATTGTCCCAAATCTGGCTCTTAGGATTGAACCTTGGCTCATCTCTCTCTCTCATCCAGCTGCAAACATATCCATTCAGGTTTGATCTCCCTAGGATGGTCTCTCAAAGAAATAATTTAACTCCTTTCCATTCTCACAGAAAGTTCCCATTACCCAACACCTAGAAGAAGTTAATCTCCTAATTTCTCTTCCTGCAGCCACATTCTTAAAATTATGTGTCCACTTATTAATGTCCTCATTTGTTTAAAAATATTAATTGAACACTTACTCCTTAAAGCACTATTCCAGAAGCTGGAGGTGTATTGTGGAAAAACGAAACAAAATTTATACTTGTTGTGATAGAGTGCTATGATGCAATACAAATTCAATGGTATGTAACGGTAATTGATTGAAGAAAAATAAACTAGATAAAGAGGGGAAGTGTAGGAGGGTTGGGGTGTGGTTAACTGTACTCTTTTACAAAGGATGATTAAAGGTGGCCTCCACGATGAGCAGAAATCTGAAGAAAATTGCACAGATACCTGGAGGAAAATACAACAGGAGCCGAAGGAAAAGAGAGGAAGATTCTGAGGTAGAATCCTGTTCTGCCTGTTCCAAGAATAGCAAGTGGACTGCATGAGGTGATGGTAGGTAAGAGAATCTAGATCTTTCTATTCATCCCCTCCATTGAACTCTTAGGAGGACTAAATGGGTTAATACTCTCAAAGCACTTTGAAGAATGCCTTGCATATAGTAAACTTCTCCTGTGACAAGGCTGATGTTCTGTGGCAACTCTTCTTCTGTGTGTGTGAATAAATAGATGTCACCTGTTTTCTGAAGTTCCTTGAAGGATTCCTTACTGCTTACAGATATAAATTCAAACTGCTTTGCTTCATGAAGTGTTTATGAAGTTTGATCCCAAACCCAGTGTTCTACCTTTGTATTTGAAACTTTTGTACCTCCAATGTCGACTGCTTTTGTCTCTCAAAAATTCCGTCCAAAGTTATAGCTCTCCTTTGCTGCATAACACCCCAATCCACCTTATTTTTATGTGCCTATAGCTTCCTTCCCTTTGAGATTAGTCACAACTAAGAGACTCTTTTCAACGTCTCTGGTCACAATGATCCTACCATCCTCGTAACTCATGGACTCATCACGGGGTCCCTCGTGCTGCTGTGTGCCCAGACTCCCCTTCTGATTACAAACTTTCTGAGACAAGGCTTTATTTTAGATTCTCCGACCTGCACAGCACCAAGGGCCAGTGCTCATTATGCAACAGGGAAGGCTCAAAACGGGATTTTGAAGTGTGTGAGGGGGTAGTCTCAAAGGGAGAGGTAGGTTTATTTTGTACAATGACAATGGATTCAAGTCACAGTACTGTTCTCTTGAGAGAACTTTAATATCTTCTCTATAGGCCCAATCTCCTGAGCTTTTGATTCCCTGAGGGAGTTGGCTCCAATTTACACACAGCCTTTTAGAAAAATCTCTCTGGTGTGTTGTGCAGAATGGAGTCAATGAACCCCGTTTTAAAGCGCTATTGGAATGCCCAGGCTTCAAGATGGTATCATTGTATTGTTTATCTTCCTAGACACCTGAAGAAGCTGAGAAGAATGACCAGTCTACTACGTTTGTAGGGTAATTCATTTTTATGTCAGGGAATGCTACTTTCATAACTTACTATGACATAAACAGGCAACGGCTGTAGGGATGTTTCTTCAGATAGGTACACTCAGTGAATTCCTAAATGGCTTTCAGGAGCCTAGGTGTCAAAAAATACCAACAAATGATTTTAGATGTCTAGAAAAGTATCATCTCTAAGCTTACCACGAAGAATAATTTGGTGCAAGTGAAATATTCCACCCGTGTCTCTTGCTTTAAATGACCTAACTTGAATGAACATGTTGGTTGAATTCTGTGTTTGGCATAGAGATAGTGAAATGTGCTGCAAGATTTATGGCTAATGGGACGCTCATGGGAACGAAGAAAAGGCCTTGGCCTCTTTGGCTTTTAATTTCTTCACTTGCCCTACAAGGAGTTTTAGAAGTAGAAAACAAGCCACTGAATCTGCTGACCTGAATTCCATGCTGCTCTTACCCTAAGTCACACGCATATCTAGGATCACGATGGCCCTATGCTAGAATTTTTGCATTAAGCAAGGTTGGAAAAAAGAAAGCAATATGCATTTTGACAGTCAGAAACTATTGTTTTCACACGATAGTTTGAGTTGGTTGAGATCATAGATGGGGAAATTCTAGTTTCATCCTCATAAAATGTTTTCATAACCCAAATCTACTGTGGCACTGACAACACTTTGTTTATACCTTCTTTGAGTAAATAGCAAATACACACATAAATGACCTGCAATGGCTTTACATGTTTAGAAAATACTAACTTCTGGAAACATGTCACTAACTACAGTATAGCTTTTCTGACTATTCTTAAATTCTGCCCCTCCGGGCCTTTCCTTTCCAAGCTCCATTGCTTCTGGGACAACAGGAGTGGGTTTTCATTTCATTACTTCCTGTTATTCAACTTCCTGTTAAGCAAAACCCCTTTCAAGCTTTCTTACCAGGGAAAAATGTTAGATTTCTCCTGCTGCACAGGAGGATACTTCTCCTGCTGCACAGCCCATTGGTATTTTTGTGTGATTGTGCTGTTGTAATCATTATGATTATTTCAACGTCCAGAATGTGCGTCTGTCTTCCTCAGTTTCCCGTTTTATTTGGGTATTACCCTTACTTCACGTTTCTCTCACTTCCCGTTCATTCACCCCCCTTTTCTTTTATAAAAGAGTGTTATTCTGAGATAAATTTTCATAAGCAGCTTCAAAGGTAGTACAGAGAGGCTCCCATCCCCTTCACCCAGGTTTCCCCAATGGCTACATCTTACCAACTACAGCATAGCATCAAATACAGGAAATGGAGATTGGTGTGATGTGTGGATTGCTCTATACCATTTTACTTCGTGTGGAGAGAGATTTGTTTAACCAACTCAACCATCAAGGTACGGAATTCTTCCATCTCTACATGGATGTCCCTGTGGTACACCTTTACAGTCGCACCTTCACCCTCCCTGCCTTTCCGAATCTCAGACAACTACTAACCTGTTCTTCCTTTCTATAATTTTACCATTCTGAGAAGATAATGTAAAAATAGAGTTCTGAACTTTGAGATGGGCTTTTTTTCAACTCAGTGTAATGACCTTGAGACCCATTCAAGCTTATATCTGTATCATATTTTTTCCTCTTTCTTACGGAATAGTATGCCCTGGTATGGACATTCCACATTGTTTAACCATTTATGCATGGTAGGAATTTGCGTTGTTCCAGATATCTGGCCATTATGAATAGAGCTTGTGTCAACAAAATTTACAGGCTTTTGTGTGGGCATAAATTTTCATTTCTTTGGGATAAATGCTCATGTGTGTCCTTTTCATCCCTAAATTATTGATTTTCTTTCCCAGCTCCTACTAGTACTTAATTGGTTACAGCACTCACTCAATATTTAAGAACTAGTTTATTCTTTGATGAACTAACAAATTTGATGGACTCTGATGAGATTAATGGGTACATCCACCAGTGACTGGAGGAATGTAGCTGTTTGTAAGGTGTCACCAAGGAGATCCTGTGGAAGATTTTAATCCCTGGTCAAAGCCATCCTCCCAGGTATGAGCTTGCCCTCCTTTTTGGAATCACAAGTCTGTCTTTTACACACCACAACTGACTGTTTATCTAGAGTCTAAAGGAATTGGCAAAGAAGTTACATTTCTAATACCCTGAACCTACAGTTAGGGTAGATAAGGTATTTGCCCGAGTTCAGAAAAATTCACATAATGCTTTTTGTCTGTAAGATGTTTCTTAAAGGATACTCTGTGCAATGTAGGAATTTTAAAAAATGGGATCTGGCACAGTTAGAGGACTTGCTTTAGAAGGTCACCAAAGGTCACATCTCGGTCTACACGTCTGTGATTTTCTTCAAAAATCTTGTGATCGGGAATAAACTGAAGTGCTGAGAGAGGTTCAGTGTTTAGTATCACACAGATAGCAGATACTGAGGATGGCCATTTGGAGGTAGAAGTCAAGAGTGTGATCTCTCAGTCTACCCTATGAACTTGAAAAATGTTGGAAGTTAAATTCATTTTCTTACATTGATTGATTTATTTTGAGAGAGAGGGTGCATGCCCAAGAGTGAGGGAGGGGCCAAGAGAGAGGCGAGGGAGGGGGTCCCAGGAGGGTCCATGCTGTCAGCTTGGAGCGTGACTAGCTGCTCAAACCCAAGCACCATGAAATCATGACCTGAGCCAAAATTAGGAGTCAGATGCTTAGCCAACTACTTAGCCAACTACTTAGCCAACTACCAGGTACCCAGGTGCCCCAAAGAAGTTAAATTCATTTTTAAAAACAATTTAATTATAAATTAATTGTAATGAAAAATCTTTCTCTCATTACAGATTAAATCAGAGAAATGGAATTTAGAAATCAAACTTTGGTGACTGAGTTTTTATTTGTGGGCTTAACAAATTGCTTCCAGCACCAGGTTGTTCTGTTTGTGATGTTTCTCTTGGTTTATCTGGTCACTCTTCTGGGAAATGTGGGCATGATCACCCTCATTTGGATGGATTCCCGGCTCCACACTCCCATGTACTTTTTTCTCAGCCACTTGTCCTTTGTGGATGTCTGCTCCTCTTCTGTCATTGGTCCCAGGATGTTGACAGACATCTTTGTGGAAAAAAAAGTAATCTCTTTCTTGGGTTGTGCTGCCCAGATCTGGTTTTTTGGTCAGTTTGTAGTGACAGAGTGTTTCCTGTTGGCCTCCATGGCTTATGACAGGTATATGGCCATCTGTAAGCCCTTGTTGTATACACTCATTATGTCCCGGAGAATCTGTGTGCAGCTGGTGGTAGGGCCTTATACCATGGGTCTTATGAGCACCATGACCCACACGACGTTCACCTTTCGCCTGCCTTACTGTGGTCCAAATACCATCAATCACTTCTTCTGTGACCTTCTTCCTGTTCTCTCCCTGGCATGTGCAGACACCCAGGTCAATCAGGTTTTACTTTTCATCTTGGCTGGAGCTCTAGGGGTGTTCAGTGGTGTGATCATCCTGGTTTCCTACATTTACATCGTGGTCACTATCTTGAGGATCCGCTCTGCTGAGGGGAGGCGCAAAGCCTTCTCCACCTGCTCGTCACACCTGACTGCTGTCTCCATCCTGTATGGGACACTCTTCTTTATCTACGTACGCCCCAGTTCTAGTTTCTCCCTGGACATCAATAAAGTGGTTTCTGTGTTCTACACAGCCGTGATCCCCATGTTGAACCCCCTTATCTACAGCCTGAGAAACACAGAGGTCAAGGATTCATTCAGGAGGACGTTTGAGAAGAAGAATCTTCTTCTGAGTAGGTAAACTAGATACCATTTGTACTACAGATTGAGAGGTGATATAGACACAAGATGCAGGAGCATGGGCTGGGTGATGGGAGTCCTACTTTTGTGTTGAGATTCACTTTTTATTACTGTGTGTCATTGAGAAGTGATATATCTTCAGATTACAATTTTCTCACTTGTCATTGAACAGAAATGAGTTTTAAAATGTTAAACTGAAGTACATGGATTATTGAACCCCAATGCTTTAAGAATACGTTCCGTGTTGGGGCGCCTGGGTGGCTCGGTCAGTTCAGCCTCCAACTCTTGGTTTTGGCTCAGGTCATGATCTCATGGTTTGTGTTCAAGCCCTACATCAGGCTCTGCACTGGTAGTGCTGAGCCTTTTTGGGATTCTTTCTCTCTCCCTCTCTTTCTGTCCTTCCCATGTCTTCTTTCTCTTGCCTCTGTCATAATAAAATAAAAAATATTCTCAGTGCTTGTGACTAGGGTATGAGAGGCTCTTTGCTAAGTCCTGTTAAATTATTATTATGTTAGAATCATAATCAGTGACTTGATGCTACTTCTGTTTATCTCACAAGGTGTTGAGATCCCCCAATTTTCTGGAAGCTTAGCCTTGACTCTTTAAACAAAAGCCAATAACAAGTATATTATGGTTAAAGATAGAAACTTCTACTTGCAAGGTAAATATGTCTTGGGAATGTAATATAAACATGGTGACTATAGTTAAAAATACTATACATTTGTTAGTTGTTAAAAGAGCAGATCTTAAAAGTTCTCTTCACAAGAAAAAAATTAATAACTACATAAGGTTATTTATGTTAACTAAACTTATTGTGGTTATCATTTTGCAATATATATGTATATCAAACAATTATGTTGTACACCTGGGACTAATACAATGTGATATGCCAACTATGTATCAACAAAATGAGAAAAAGTTAATTATTCAGGAAGTATGTAGCCATAGCACTCTCTAATACCACCTTCACGTTTGGAGTAGACAATTTGCAAAGGGCCTTTTACATCCCTGATCCTCTCTACCCATATAATACCTTGCTGAGATTTTGTCACTGTATTTACACTTATGCATGTAAAATTCAGAATGCATTGCAAGTCTTTAATAAAGTGTTGGCTATGCTCTAGTGATTTATTTATTTTTGTGTCCTAAGAAGGAGGTGAATTCTATTTTTACAGATGTTCAGCCTGGCACACATGAAGAATCAATGTCATGACCTCATAACTTGGGTCACACTCTTATTTTTTCCAGGTACAATACTCTTTCAACCATACTTCTGTGTTTTGTTTTCTGGAATGTAGCAACAAATCCAAGAAATTAGCAGATAAACCATGTTTTGTGTAACCTATGACTCATTGAAATCCACACTCTGTCCTCTCTTGAAGGCCTTTTTAAAAAAAGCATTTAATATGGCTCAAATTAACAACTCAAAACAACAGATGTTGGCAATGATGCAGAGAAAGGGGAACACTTCTGCACTGTTGGTAGGAATGCAAAGGGGTGTAGCCACTCTGGTAAAGAGTATGGAGGTTCCTCAAAAAATTAAGATAGAACTACCATATGACCCAGCAATTGTACTACTAGGAATTTATCCAAAGCGTACAGGTGTGCTCTTTTGAAGGGACACATGTACCCCAATGTTTATAGCAGCATTATTGACAATAGCCAAAGTATGGAAGGAGCCCAAATATCCATCGACTGATAAATGTATAAAGAAGATGTGGTAAAGAAGATATTGCAACAACATGAATGGAACTAGAGTGTATTATGCTAAGCAAAGTAAGTCTGTCAGAGAAAGACAAATATCATATGATTTTACTCATATGTGCAATTTAAGAAACAAAACAGATGAACATAAGGGAAAGGGATGAAAAAATAAAAAGAGAGACAGAGGCAAACAATAAGAGACTCTTAAATACAAAGAACAAACTGACGGTTTCTGGAGGAGAGGTGGATAGAGGGACGAGCTAAATGAGGGATGAGCTAAATGAGCTAAATGAGGTGGGTAGAGGGATGAGCTTAATGATGGGCATTAAGGAGGGCATTTGTTGGGATGAGCACTGAGTGTTTTCTATAAATGATGAATCACTGGGTTCTACTACTAAAACCAATACTACACTGTATGTTAACTAACTTGAATTTAAATAAATAAAACCTTTAAAAAAGCATTTAATTTTAGTCCACTGACTTTGAAGGAGGTCAATTGCCTCTAAGACCTTAGAATATTTTGGCTTGTCTTTATTGTTTTCATCACGATTTCTGCCAGTTTTTGTGTCTGTGTTGGGTTATGACATGGGTCAAGATGCTATTTAATAAATAGGAAATGGGAGTCAAAGAATGTTACAATCAATAATTAATTCAACAAATTTTTACATGTGCCTCTCATGTGCCTGACACTTTACTGGGTACTGTTCACATTGAGAGGCAAAGTCCTCCTGGAGGTCAGGCTAGTGCAGTTGAAAGACAAACAAAGAGATTAAAAATGGTTATATACCCATGGTTATTTCGGTGATAAAGATAATCAAGGAACCAAGAGAGAATGTAACAGAATATTTTAGCCAGGGTAATAAAAAAATAAAAGCCTCTTTAAAGAAAGTAGGGATTGAGAAAGATGAAAGAAATTATTTTTATAGTACGGCTTTCTAAGGAGTCCAGAGGTCACTATTTGGATCATAAATGAAGAAAGGGCCCAGCAAAATAGTAACAGACCCTACTGGGGTGCCTGGGTGGCTCAGTTGGTTAAGCATCTGACTTCGGCTCAAGGTCATGATCTTGTGGTTTGCGAGTTCAGGTTCTGTGTCAGGCTCTCCCTGTAGATGAGATTAATGAAAAAGGATGTTCATGGTCATCACTTAATGCTTGATGCCCCAGCCTGGCACGTAATCTGTGTTCAATGTATGTTTGGTGATTGAATGAACAATAAATATATAGTCAAAACTATATTGTTTTATTCCATGAATGCTATAGCTTGACAGACATAGGCTCAATTATCAACTCTGGCCATGTTTCTTTGCATAGTTTATGGCTTATATGCAGATTTAAAAATGCATCTGAATTGAATAATATACATATGCACATAAATACATGTAATTATCTTCTGTTTGTTTTACTTCCTTGCCTTTCACATCTGATCTCCAGGCCAGCAGGAGTTCATTAGTGTGTGTTGTGAAATGCGGTAATACTCCACTTGTTTTCCACGTAGTACTTAGAAATGACACCATAGTATATCATTCTGTTTTTCCATTATTTCCTTTGCTTACCACACGTTGGTAGGGCAACTATCATATTTTAGGATTTAACAGGCATTATCAAAGTCAGTTATAGGTGTATACTTGTATGTTCTGAGTCATCATGTATATGAGGATGCTACTTATGTAGGGAGAAACCTGTTGTCAGGCAACCAAGCCACTCAAAGTGTACCTGCATTTCCAAAGAAAAATACACTAAAATTCACAAAACATATTTATTAGAACCAGTCTGCAAAAACTGTCTTCCCAAAGTGTACTGCAAGACTTGGAAAAACTGATAACCTATGGTCCTTTAAACAGAATTCTTTTATTTTTATCTTTCAATGGACATTTATTTTGTTCCCTTATCTTGGTTATTTTGAATCACACTGCAATAAACACGAGAGTATAGGTATTGTTTTGAGATCTTATTACAATTCTTTTGAATAAACACTCAGAAGTGGGATTGCCAGAAAATATGGTAGTTCTATTTGTCATTTTTTGAGGAACCTGCATATTGTTTCCCAAGATGACTGCACAAATGCACATTCCCATCAATAATATAAGAGTTTCCTTTGCTTTATATCCTCACAAATATTTCTTAAATATTGACTTTTTCAAGCCTTCTAGCAAGCCCAAGATGACATTTCACTATAGCTTTTTTTTCTTTTTTCTTTTTGTATTTCCTTCCATATTTTGTGTTATCTTTAAGTTTTTATTTAAATTTCAGTTAGAGTGCACTTTCAAGAAATGATAGAGGGAAGAGCCAAGATGGCAGAATAGCATGGAAGTTTTTTGTGTGTCTCACATCCATGCAATATAGCCAGACCAAAAGTAAGCCATCCTACACACCTAGAAAACTGACTGGAGGATTAACACAACAATCTGCACAACCTGAACTACAGAATTCAGCAGGTATGCAGCACGAAGAAATGAACTTGGGGAGTGAGAAGGTACAGGAAGGGAGGTGCTTTAGTGAATGGAGAGAGGACGGAGATGGGGTGGGGGGGTGAGGGAGAGAATACAGAAAATCACCTCTCTCCAAAAGCAGCTGGAGAGAAAGTGGAAAATTGGAAACAGCTGCAGTGAATAAAATAAAAAGGGAGAAAGGAACAAGGAGAAAGGAGAGGGTTTAAATTCCATTAAGACTGTAAACAAGGGGAGAGCAGTCTGCAACTCCACAGCTCAATACCTGGTGGTGCTCTGGTAGGAAGGGCAAATCCCCAGGAGCAGAATGGGGTCCGGGAGGTTCTCAGGCCACAGGGAGAAAAGCAGTTCCACTGCTGGAAAGACATTCCGTTGAGACTGTTGAAGCCACCTGGTCCCAGCAGACCCCAGAAAATGGCCACATTTGCTAGTGCTGGAACAAGGTCATTAAGGGTAAAGCCTGGTGCCAGATGTGTGTTTTGATTTTCCATAATCCCTCAAACGCTGCTGCTACATTATCTCATGAACTTTTTCTGGGGCAGGCTGGCATCTGGCCGTAGTTTCGGGACACCGGCAGCAGCAGGGTCCAGCAAGTGTTCCTGGCTGCAGCCAAAATTTGGCCATGGCTCATTCAGCCATTGTTCGGTGAGACCCTCTAACACAGGGGCAGAACGGGTCAAAGCCGCAGTCCTTCAGAAATAAGGGGCCAGAGAAAACAGCCACATCTGAGACAAAACTTGGGAGAAGGTACTGCCTGGGGCCTGGTCATGGAGAGTGAAAAAGCGGGGAGTGGACAAAAGCTGAAGACAGAGGACAGGTACGTGATTGCTGATCCGGGAAAACAGAATGG